CTGCCTTCCTTCTAGTCTTACACTGCTAAATTAGGGACGGCTAGTGCAGATAGCCCTCGTGTAGCTTTGCGCGAAATTCAAAAACAAACAAAAAAACAATTAATTTAGTAGGGGTGCAGGAAATGACGGCAAAACGATTTTCAACCATCATTCGTTGTATCGGATTTTTAGGTCCGATTTTGTTGGACCTAAGAGGTACACCTTCGACCCCTTCCTTCTCCCTAACATTAGATTTTTGCTCTTTTGTTTTTATTGCTGTATTATCAGATGTTTCAGATGTTATGTTTAATTTGTTTTCCTTCTAAGATGATTTTGGTACTTTCTATTGTTTAAAACTTCTGTTTCTTGGCATTGTAAATTAGTCGAGTTTACATTGCGTAATGTCTTCACCGGCTCCGCGCTAATGATGTTGTGTCCAGGTTGCTGAGGTTTTGTTTATTCCGGTGATACTTCCCACACTTACACAATGCTAGATTTATTTTCTTAGCGACCGTATATAAAACTTCGCATTGCACATTTAAGGCCTTGTCCATATTATGGGCTGATATTATTGGTTTTTACACAGTTACACACAAATCGCTGATGTAGGTTTATACCAGCCCGCGAGCCGCATCCGGCCCACGAACTCATATATATTTTTTTCTGTAATCAATCAAGGAAAAAAATAAAATTACCTGCAAAAAACATACAATGTCCCATAACTATCACAAATTTTCTGGCTTTCTAACTATGCCACAAGAGCCGGCACAAATTCATCCATGATATATTTCTCGTTGGAACGAAGCTTGTACTAAAACAGGCAATTCTCTGTACAGAAAACAACGTAATATAATACATCATTTGATAGGTGAAAACCTTGTCTTTCTATTAGTTATAAGTAATATAGTATTAAACGTAAGAGAGAACTGTTAAGAAGATGTGACAGGTGGGTGTGGCAAGAGGAGTCTGATTTTCTATTTGATGACTCTGTAACCAAACAAGATGCCCCCAGTGGCACAGCGGTATGTCTGCGGACTTACAAC